AGGTCCTGAGCTCCTCGGAGGATGAAAACAGCCAAGTTCATCAGGGAAGCCAGCATGATGAGCTCCTCCAAAAAACCAACAGCTCCTTACAGCTTCCACCAGCTCCAACAGCCTTTCTCCGCTCCCAACAGCCTCTTTAGTTCCCAAAAAGCCTCTTTCTTCTCCAGTTCTGCTCTTATGCTGCTGGCAACAGCAACCCCCAGGTAGGCCTCCAACACCCAGCACCACGCTTGCTCAGTTCAGCTGGGCATTATAAGTTGACCACCAGTTATCAATCCACTACATTGGCATAATCAAAGAACAAATAGCAGAACTCATAACACTGACAGCACATGGTAGGAACTCCTAACTTGTGAGTGCTAACTTCGAAGCAGGATAGAGTCCAACTGATGACCAGTGGTTTTACTCTAAGAGAAGACTGGCAGGGAGGGATTGGCATGATCAGGTGTACTAAGGGGATCTCATGATGGCGCTACACTCCAGCATCATTTGAATCTTCTGAGATGACATGATACTCATACACCACCTATATAATTTATACAGTTCCAAAGTGGTCCAGGAGATCTCCCCATAGTTTGAGTCTACTCTTTGTGTGCATTATAATAATAGTACATATTCATCATAGAAATGTTGGAAAGTTTAGAATGACATAAGGAAGAAATACAAATTATCTACAACCTCTCCACTTCTGACACTATTAACTTTTAAAAAGTTTTCTTTTGATATTTAACTAATATACTGATACATAAACATGCAGTATATACAGTACATGTATTTAAGTCAATAGTTGGGAGGATCATATACAGTTTGACATTTCTTTTATATCTGAACTGTGTCTACTCTTATTTCTCATAAATATCCCTAGGGACCTTCAATAAATGTTCCATTTCCTACATGTCTGTTCAACTTAAAGAAGAAAACAACATGCATTTATTTTGTAGTGCAGTATAATTACCCTTTTCCTGATAAAGCTGGACAGATTGGGTTCTTGTAATTCTTAACCACAGATCCACAAGAAGTACACCGAGTTTTAAATATGGTACCTGAAAAACACACAGTAAACAGGTCCAGAATTTAGTACAATCAAGCACAGTCATCTCAAGGATGCAATAGTTCAGATCTGGAACATCCCCCAGAGGCCTGCTTGCCTCCAAGGGTCCTCAGTTGGGTGCTCCTGGGAGGTACCAGAGCCTTTAGAGATGAGGTCCAATTGGAAGTCTTCTGATAACATGGGGCTATGCCCTTAGAGTGATATTGGGACTCTGGCCTCTCCACTCCTTCCCTCTTTGCTTCCTAGCCACCATGAAGTAAGCACCATAATGTGCTGCCTGACCAAGGACTGGAACCTTCAAAACTGTAAGCCAAAGTTAACCTTTTCTCTTTTTGATTATCTCAGGAATTTAATTATAGTAACAGAAAGCTGACCAACACAGGTTACAAAATAATTTAGCTCTCATACCATCATTTTGGCAAATGGGCCTGCCCTAAGCATCATAGGAACTGTAAAGGCATGCTGCTCTACTGAACCAGACAAGAGCAAATGCCCTCAAGGACCTTGTAATCTGGAGGGAAATAACTAACTCTTGAATGTGCTCTCAAAATGCCTCGAAGGAATCTTCGGATGGAACTGAAGCGCTCAGGAGAAAAGATGAAATGTGACCTAAAGCTAAGGGCAGGATTTATTAAGTATGTAAACGTTCAATGACTGGACTATGTTTACAGAATCTTAACATTGATTCAATAAAGCTTGAATCTTCTATACAAAATCAACTCAGGGAATAAGTAATTAACTAATAAATAAGGAACTGTTAATACTAGAATCCATTTACCAAGCTAACGTAATAATGGCGGCCACAGTTTATTAAGTAGCTGCCATGGGCCTGGGTGGGGCTGAGGGCTTCACCCCACTCGGTGCACATGGACTTTCATCTTGTCTCCTCGTCTCTCTTTGGGGAGCCCCATCTCTTCTCTTCTTCTCTATCCCATGTTGACCCATTGGAGCTGTCACCCACATTCCAAATATAAGCTTGGCCACAGGTTCCAGTCATGTGCGACCTAGCACCCTATCACTCCAGCAGCAGTGTTTGGTCACAGGGGTGGGCACAGAACCCAGGTGAGGTCACACAGAGCTTTATTTTCTGAGGAGCTAGCAACAGGAAGCCACCAGAAGCAACCTTAGCTGATCCATGGAGGCAGATCAACTACAAAGGGAGAAGTGAGGTTAACAGAGCTGAGAGATGGCAGGAGCAGGCTAGGAGGGAAAGGAAGGAGACTGCTGTGGACGTCAGCCGCAGCCAGGCCGCCTCAGTTTCATTAGCCAGTAGCCCTGTTTCTGCCACTTTTAGTGTGGACACTTCCCCAGGTTAATACCTCTGGAATTTATAGTGTATTACAGTCACTGCCGGGCAAATACCACCATAGTCACACCTATGTGGACTGGCTGAAGGGTAACACTGAACACTAAAAAGTGTCCAACTTAATTGTTATTCTCAGTGGCCTGGCTGGACAAACACAATCCCCAGAAATGACATCCAACAGACCATGTAAGGCACATTAGAGAAGGAACATGAAGCCCGGTTGTGGTCTGACATTCTTCTACTAACACCTTTTGGTGAGACTGAGAAAGGCCCAGCATTAGACTGGCAGAGCCTGGAGGAGAGTCCTGGAGCATGGACGGACCACTTCATCCCATGCACTCCCCTTTCTTTGGAGAATCACTTCTTCTCTTTAATCCTGGGCTGATGGAGCTGTCAATCACATCCTAAGTCCAACCCCACCCACAGCGAGCTGGAGGAGAGTCCTGGAGCATGGACAGACCACTTCATCCCATGCACTCCCCTTTCTTTGGAGAATCACTTCTTCTCTTTAATCCTGGGCTGATGGAGCTGTCAATCACATCCCAAGTCCAACCCCACCCACAGCAAGGATGAGAAGCCCGCAGATGGTGGAGAGGTGTTCTCTTAGGTGACAGTATCAGTCCCCAGAGCACAGAGGAGAACACTGCAAAATGCAGACCTTCTGAATGTCACTGAGCAGACTCAGACAACGAGAAATGTCCTCACCAGCCTATGCCACTAGTGTTTCTATGCACAGGAGGATGTAATCTCTAAAACCCATCTTCTGTACTTGGTGTAACTGCCTATCTATGGGTACAGTCTGGTAACTGGATACATGTGCACAATGCATAATGTTTCAAGGACACAGCATTTTCATCCTCCCACCTATTTCTTTGTGTTTGAAGCCCTTTCTATGAGAAAAAAATAACAAATCTGAAAGATGATAATATACCAAGCATATCATGGCTTAGGCAGATTATTTTCTAAGTGTCACAGTAACATCACAATACATCTTAACATTGATGGCATCTTCAGTTTGGTGAAGTAAAAGGGATTCTTTCATTTTTATTTAAGTTAAAAGAGAGTTCTTGTCACTTGCAACCAAAGAGTTGTGAGCAATACACACATATGGTCTTCATCTGTTTAGACTCTGCTCTCCAACTAACAAGCAGAGTGACTCACAAGCTGACATGGCAGAGAAAGCAGAAGCAAGTGCCCAAAGCTGGGGTCAATACGTGGGACAAGACAGAGAGGAGCTGGTGGGCGCACACATGCCTTTGGCGAGTGGAGACAGCGGACCGCAATGACACCCAGGCCAGGCTGCCCAGTGTGTGGGGGCACACACATGCCTTTGGTGGGCAGTCATCAGCAAAACCAGCAACGTGCAAGTGTCAGAAGCAGCAGCAAGGAGCCAGCAGTGAGCTCTGGAGAACCCTACCAACAGAAGACCAGTCCCAGCCCCCACATCCAGAGGCCAAGATCAGCTCCATACCCAGCACAATTCCCATGGCAAACTTGGCTGGAGTACACAGCATGTTTCTGGAATCTGACTTGGACGTTAGCACAGAACTGTAAACACCAGAGATACTTCACTACTTTTGTTCTCTCATGTTTGTCTGATTAACCATCCTTTTCCTGCCAGGTTGGATTTTGTCATGCTTTGTTTAGTATTTTGTGGTTATTTTTGATTTTGTGGGATTACTTCTTTTTTTCTCTCTTTTTATAGTCTCCTTTTCCTCTCTTCTTCTTCTCCTTCTCATTCTTCTCTTTCTTTTTTTCATTTTTTAGGTTTCTTACCTTTCTTGTTTTCTTCTACTGATCCTCCTCTCTTTCATCAACTACCTCTTGAATTTAAACTTTCAAGTGAGGAAACATTGTCTCTTCCCTTTCTGATTACTCCTTCACATTTGATTTCATTCTTTCCCTCCTGTGTCCTCCAGCTTCCCAAAATTTGGGTGGTCATCCTTTGACCTCCAGCCTTGATTCTACAATATTTGACCTCATTCATCACTTTATCCTGTCCCCTACCCATGTTAACCCCTTCACCCCCTCACAGTAGGGTAAAATCACTCCACTAAGGGAAAAATTACTGCATATAAGTACATGGTATATGTTTGATTTTCTTATATAACTTTAGAATTTACTCCTATTGTTGAATGTAGCAGGTTAATGATTACCATAGTTTGTCAGTAGTTAAGCTGTACTTCAGACTATTGTTTTTATTAACCGTACTTCTTTAGCCAGGATGTCACATCCTTGTATGATAATACTTGTATGATAACACTATGATTGTATGGGGTCATAATCATCACCACAGTCTAGTACCAAAGGACTGAGTGCTGAGTCAAATAGTAACTTCTTTGCATCCTTTACAAATTGGGATGGTAGGTTCTTGTCACAGCTGTAAAGAACCACCTACATCTAGAGGACATCCCTGAAGAACAGACATCTCTTAGGGAAGCCTCAATACTAGTGATAAACCTATGTACCATAAGAAATTGGCAAGTATCAACATAGAAAACAAAATAAAATAAAAAAGAGAAAATAGAAAGTGACAAGACATAGAAGCAAAATGCAATGCCAGACCTCCAACCCACCCAGAACAAGCCCAGAGCACAATAAGAGAGACAAAATTGGAAGTCAAAATTGGAATTTTCTGAAATGATAGTAACAGAAGTGAAAAAACAAGTGGAAAAGGCTATAGAGTAAATAATCTCTCAGGTACAAAAAAGAAATGATGCTGAAAATCAAAGATATTAGAGTAGATACAGATAACAGAATAGATGAGCTTAGAAAAAGGATGGAAACAAAAAAATGCCCAACATAGGAAAGAAATGGAATCCATGAAAAAGATCCAAACAGAAATCCAAGAGATTAAAATCTCCACTGAAAGTATGTGCAACAGACTGAACAAAGAAGAGGATGGAATATTAGATCTTGAAGACAGAACTTCAGCTAGTGACCATGAAAAGAAAAATAGCAAGACACCATGAAAAATCAATCCAACAGCTACAAGATGAAGCAAAGAAAAATAACATAAGATTGACTGGGGTCAGTGAGAAAGCTGGAGAGAGCATAAATGCTATTTAAAAAAAACTTCACAGAAATAATAGCAGAAAACTTCCCAAGTATGGATAAAGAATTTGACACACAAATAAGTGAAGCATATAGAATCCCATACAACCATGACCAAAATAAAACTACATCAAGACATATAATAATCAAGATGCCAAAAATAAAGCACCAGAACAGAATATTAAAAGCCATTAGAGAAAACAAACAGATCACCTATAAAGGAAAGCTCATCAGAATCACAGCAGACTTCTCAACACAAATCTTCACGTTAAGAAGAGCTTGGAGTGAAGTATTTTACATACTGAAAGAAAATAACTTCCAATCCAGATTGATATACTCTTTCAAAATTAATGGAGAAGTAATATATTTCCATGACAAAGAATAACTGAAGAAATTCATGACCACAAAACCAACCATATAAAGAGTACTAAAAGATATTCTAGACAGAGATAAAAATTACCACAATTCCAAGAACAA